CACTGAAGTGGAGGCGTGTGTCGGTCCTAAGTCTAGAAGAGAGAGTCTCAAGGCTGGAAGCAAATGCAAACCAGCTCCCCAGGCAAGGCTAGCCCTATTCCACCCCGTGTACAATCCTTCCATGGAGTCTCCATGGCCTCTGTCGTAAGGTCCAACCCATTCCTGACACCCTGTGATTCTTTGGGATTTGGGTCCTGCTGATTTCTAGCCTCATCCATCCTTGACCCCTCACCCTATCCTCAGAGCTCCATGGCCTTCTCTCTCCCCAGGGTCACCTCTGCCTTCTCTGGCAGCCAGATCTTTGCTCACTGCATTCTTCCTGCTGGACATCCCTCCTGCTTTTCCAGCCAATAGTGTCTCTTATTTGCAGTTCTGGTCCGCCTGTGACCTTCTTAGGGAGTGCTCTTTGACCTTCTAGCCCTGGCTAGGAGCCCTTACACCTGTGCTGTCTGGTCTCACCTCTCTTGTGCTTCTTCCCTCCCGGACTGTTCTTTGCCTAATTGGTCCCTCCACTTCACCCCAGGTGATGGATAGCACCTACGCAAGAGGACACCTAGCATATGTTCACTGGCGTGGGACCAACCGCGAGTCACTCTGCCAGACAATTCTTTCTCTTTAAATTTTGATTTTATTTTGAATTATGTGTTTGTGCTTGTATGAGGGTACATGCCAGAGGAATCGGATCCCTCTGGGACTGGAGTTACCCGTGGTTGTTTCACAAGGACCCTGGAAACTGGGCTCTGGAGAGCATCGTGCTCTCTTAAGAGTTGAACCATCACCTCTCCAGCCTTGATAATTAGCTTAATAGCCGCCCACATCCCCATTGAACCAACAAGGACCCAGGAGGCTCCCACTGTGAGTCAGAGACAATCTAGGAGATAGGAAAGGCTGGGTGTGGCTGCATAATGTGAGGTTCGTGAGCATTTGGGATCTGCAGAGCTTTGATGGGCACACAGTATACCAGAGTGGGCGCAAACCAGCACTCGGTGGCACGGGACTGTCAACAGGGTCACTGCTCCTTCTTCTCTGGATTCGGAGCCTCTAGGAAAGGCTCCACTCTGCAGTGTGGCTCCAGGGCCACCTGAATCTTAGACTAAGCACTCAGTACACATCCTATTACCCCATAGGATTCCAGCATCCCGAGACCACAGCTGTCACCATTCCCAATCCACAGGTCTAGGGAGGCTGAAGGGCCCTGTAACAGCAAAGAAGGCAATAAAGCCAGGGTGGGAGCCAGGTCAACATTCCAAACTGGTACACAGGCAGATGTCACAGTGGGTCTTAGTCTGCCTCCACCAACTTTCCCAGGGCTCACTGGACCATCGGTCACCCTCCAACTAACAGGCCTGACCCGTGTGGCGCTTTCATTGCCTCCTCCTTGCTGGGTGTCTCATTTTCCAGATATGGCTTCCTGTCCTGGGGTTTTTTTAGAAACAGTGGGAAAGCTCAAGGGGTGGGGTCAGGGCTGGGCTTTGTACAAAGGGCTGGTGTCAGGAACAAAGGGACCCGACTGCTCAGGCCGATATAACCATCCTTTGTGCCAACTCTAGAATTTCATTGCTTCCCCAGAGTCCCCTAGCTCGGCTTAGATGTTCTCGAGTTCAAGTTGATTTTAATAGCCTCCCTTCCTCCTAGTATTGGGCTATTGATCTTCATTTTGCAGACTGACTTTGGCGGTGAACCGCTGTATCTTGGAAGGCTTGTCAGGGGCTCATTTAGGCTCACAGCTTTCATTAGCACAGTTAACGTCCTGTATGTCACACACATATTTCCTCACGTGTAGCCTCTCTCTGGTTTGCTATCCAGATGGTTTTAAAATCAAGGAAGCTGCTGTGTTTGCCTCGAGCTGGTTATTTTGAATTTCAAGATAGCAGCCTCGGTCAGAAGATAAGTGAAACAGCTGGCCGGGTTGATTCGCCTGCGACTTGCCAAGTACAAAATGAAGTCTCTGTTGATAATTTCCTTTGTTTTAAATAATTAACACAATTACCAATTTCTATTCCCCTTGGGATGCCGCAGAAGTGTATTTAAGTTAATTTGCTCCCTGTTTTGTTTTGTTTTGATGTGTGTGTCTGTGTGTATTTGTGTCTGCATAGTGTGTATGTTGGGGGCGTGTGCACAAGTGTGCACAGTCGTGTGGAAGCCAGAGGTTGACACCCATCTTCCTCATTCACTCTCCGTCTTATTCTTTGAGATGGGATCTCTTACCCACTTAGGGCTCACTGGTTTGGCAAGATGGGCCAATCGCCTCTGCCTCCCCAGTGCTGGGGCCAGATGTGTGCCACCGTGCCAGGGGCTAGAACTCACGCCCCCAGGCTTGCATGATGGAGCCAGCTCTTCAGCCCTTTCCCATTTCTATGCTGGGTTTTGAAACTGCTCTGTCAGAACTAATCTATTAGGGAGTAGCTGTGATTTTTTTTTTTTAAGCCTGGTTAATTTATACCTAAATGGTAACTTGTCATCACAAAGTAGACAGCTCTAGATAAAAGCAAGACGTAAATTAGATAGCCCTTATACACAAAAAGTAAGAGAGTGAAAAAACAACAACAACAACAAAAAACCCTGAGGCAGCGGTTTTTCATTGCCCACCTTAAGCATAAATTGTTGAATAAGGAGTTTTTTTAAAAAATTTTTTTTTAAAGCCAGAAATTGCTGTGGAGGGAACTGGTCTCAGCAGCTAGAGGGTTGGTCTGAAACGTGTCTGGCATCGTGTGTACATAGCCTCATGCCTATCATCCTCTGGTGAAGACATTTTCAAATACAGACCAAGAGAACAAATGGTAAAAATCAACGTCCCATTAGAAGCCACCCAGGCTTTGCTGTTTTTCTTGGGTCCCTGCTGTGCCCTAGATTTCCTGATTGCTCAGGGCAATAATAACAAAATCCTCTGATTCTTGTGAAAACCTACCCGATTGGGTTGAACTAGCCAGACCAGAGGTTCCTAACAGGGGGCTCTTTTGCCCCCAGAAGACACCTAGCAATGTCAGGAGACACTTGTGGAATTTTGTGACTTTGGGGGGTGGGGGGAGTTGGAATGCTGCAAGCCACCACAAGGCAGAGGGCAGCCCCTTCTCCAGTAAAGAAACTTGTTCCAAAGGTCAACAGTACGGAGGTTGAGAAACCTTGGGTGTGGGTGGACGGGTGGACACATGTGTCATCGCTTGTACAATCTGAACTTCCTTAGCAGAGGGGGTTAGTGTGCCATTCTACCCGAAGTTTCCAGAACTTGGAGATGGCACTCAGGCATGCTTCAGCTCAGGTACTGAGTTGTGTAACTAATCAGCTGGTTTCTGTTTCCTTTTAAGAATGCAAAGGACCTGGACAGCTGGTGATGGTGCCAATGGTAGAGTGGGCTTTGATCAAAGCACTGTGGAGAACATCATGCCAGGCTTAGGCCTAGCATCGGGGAGCCTTGGAGCTTGCGCTGGGTAGAATGGTTGCTCTATGACCTCAGGGGTCTGACCAAGGGCTGCCCTGCTGTAGAGCAGACCCCTGCTAGTCGCCCCACTGGGCAGTCTTCCCTCCTTCCTCGTGGAGCTGGACTTGATGTGGTGAAAGGTCTCAAGAACGAAGCCACAAGACTCCCCGTGAGCAAGCCTTGGTGCTCAACTTCAGTGATTTTATTGGCATGGCAGGGAACGTGAGGCTTGCCAAAGACAGCAAGCCCACAGTGCAGCTGAGAGTATAGTTTCCAGGGTAGTGTGTCCCCTGCTTTGGCCTGCCCAGAGCCCTGGGGAGATCCAGAGGAGTGGGGAGGATGCGGTGTCCACCACATGGCCAGCACCAGCTCCTCCCTCCCTCACCTGCCCCGTCTGTACCTCCTGTTCTTACTTGCTAGCAAGCCAGCAGGCAGGGGGGACTTAGTGGGTTTTATGCTAGGATGGCTCAGTGCTGAGGACTGGCTAGCTATGTGACCTCTGATTTCCACTCAGCCAGAGAAAGCAGGCTCTGATGAGTGAACCTTGGATGCATGCATGTGCAAGTCTTCAAACTGGGAGCACGCCCCTCCCTTGACTTCCCTCCAGGTCCCTTCATCTTTTCTCAAAATATCTTGTGTAAAAATTTGGGATTAGGAAAGCAAGGCTGTGTTGAAGCGCTATCGTGCCCAAATCTACCTATGAAAGGTCTGAGTGTGCTTGAGGTCCGGCCAGAAGACCTCAGGGCCTGGGACACGGGCTGCTGTGCACTGCAGAGTTTCTGGGTGCCAGGCAGTGACTGGCAACAAGCTGGGGACCCTGTGGCTCACCCTCTGTACTTCACAGTAATCTTAGACAAAGGTAGGGTTTTGTGTCCATCTCCCAGGGGAGAAAGCTGAGGCCCAGAGTCCTGATGGGTAAGCACACAGTCACATGCATTGTTGATCTGAGCTTCCAAGCCACAAGGTTTGACCAGGACCAGAATTCCTAGTGTGTGCCTGGGGTGAGCCCTGGGTTAGACACACTTCTCCGAGTGCAGTCGCTCTCATTCTCACCGTTGGCACCTGGGGCTGTCACAGGAGGACACTCCTTCGAGAGAGGGCGGTACCTCGTCACCAAGGGCTCTTGAGGCCCCCATCCCTCCACTGTCGGGTCTGCTGGGTATCATCCGTGAGAAGTTTCCTTCTCTCCCAGCCTTGCAGTAGAACACGGCCTTAGCAGTCTATGGGTTTGGCGCGCAAGACCAGCCCAACCGCCAGATCTAAGTAACCTGGATTTTGTCCCTTACCTGAGTAACTCGGTTGCTTGGGATAGCCTGAACCTTCTTGGTGCCCCAACACAAGCAGATGCTCTGGATACCTGGAAGCCAGGCTCCAGGGACAAAATCTATATATCGCCTAGTTACCTAGCTCCTTCATCAGAACCTAGAAAGATCTTGAGACCCCACAGGTGCCCTCCAGGTGAGTCCGGGGAAAGGGTGCACACAGGGCAGCAGCACAGGGCAGGTACCCAGGCCCAGTGTGACCGTCTCCAAGGGTCCTTGGGAACATTACAAGTGAGTTGATTGGGGAGAGTGGCACCTACCTCTCAAGAGCACCAGGACGCATGCGCAGGGGAGCATGGCTGCAGGCATCCCTTCGGGGCTCACTGGAGGATGAGGCACTGAAAGGAGTCTCCCTCAGCCAGCCGTGGGCTGGGGCGGGCTGGGTCCTGTGCCCCTCGCCTGGGCTGCGCCGCTGCTTGTGGACTGGGGATCCTGGAGAGCTGAGCTGCGCACTCTTAGGTCTAACTTGCCAGAAGAGGTGGAGACCGTCCTGGAGCAGTGCACAGCCCCGGGCTCGGCTGCTCCTGCAGCTCACACTCCCAGGCGACCTTCCTGAGCCCTGCCTCCAGGGTCCTCGCCTCCCCAAGAGTCCTTGCTCAGGGCAAGGACCCCCCCCCCCCGTCCCCCGTCCCCCCACTCCGCCCCCGACAAAGCCAGAACGCTGTGCTTCACGCTCCAGAGCACTCAGGCTAGGCTGTTCCTGGGAAGGGCAAGGGCCTAGGGATGCAGAAAATTCTTCTTAGCCTTTATGGGCCCGAGACCCCAGAAATGTCTGTTGAAGTCTTCCAGATACTCTCAGGCGGGAGCACAGTGAAAGTGGCCAAGCCTGCCTTGCTCTGTGTAATTAGGCAAAGCCTGGAGCCGTTTGGGACGGGTTTCCTCCCCCACCCAACTCCTCCTCCTGCCGCCACCCCACCGGACTCATCCGAGGGAGTCGGTTTTGGGTGGCAGCACAGAGGCAAAGCAGCTGTGAAGACAGGCAGAAGACCTCCAAAAGGGTCACCGGAGCTCACCAAGTCAGACATTGAAAGGGACGCCCTGTGTGGCAAAACAAGCCTTGTGGCCACCTGGGAAGGGGGCATGAGAAAGTTAGGATTGTATGAAGGAAGAGAGTGAGGTGGCTGGGGAAAGGGGCTCTGGTCTGTTCCTCTCCACAGGGAGCACCAGGCCGGTGGTGTGTGGGTCCCAAGGGGCAGCTCCTTGTGTTGTCAGGAGCTGGTGAGCTGGGAGAAGATTAAAGAAGGGGAGAAAAGAAGGAGGCGGGAGGGAGACCAGGGAGGGAGGGAGAGAGAGAGAGAAGAAAAGGAGAAGAGAAGAGAGAAGATTGAGAATGGAAGGGATAGAGGAAGAAGCAAAGGAGGACTGGAGGGAGGGAATGGAGAAAAACACAGGAGGGGGAGGGGGAGGGGGAGGGGGAGGGGGAGGGGGAGGGGGAGGGGGAGGGGGAGGGGGAGGGGGAGGGGGAGGGGGAGGGGGAGGGGGAGGGGGAGGGGGAGGGGGAGGGGGAGGGGGAGGCTGTCTTCCTGAGGCAGGCCTGTGTCCAGGCACCTGTTGGGGCAGTCGGCTTGGCCCTCAGAAGGCTTCCCAGGTTTCAGCTGGCCCACTTCAGTGGGCCGAGCCACCCAAGACACCTCTTCTCTTTCTTGAGGAACTGGGATGAGTTCCTCAGGGACCCCAAGATCCCTTCACCTCCATCCCCAGGACCCCCAGCCTAGGACCCACTGCTGTCCTTACTATTCTCTGCAGAGGCAAGAAGGAAAGGTAAAAGCACCTAGTGGGCCCTTCGCGAGGAGGTGTGAGAGATCAATCTCCTTCCAGAAGGTGGTATTTCTTTTGGTGTCTGTGGATTACTGAGCACAGCATGAGGTTTGTGGTGGATGTCTGAAACCCACATCAATGCAAACCTCCCCTGGCCAACAGCTGTCCCTGTCACAGGAAGTTTGCTTAAGGGCCAGAGGAGAGCTGTGCATGATGATTATTTATAATTTGCATAATTGTGATGATTTGTGGTGACTATGTGTCTATAAATTCGTAAAAGTTGCCATTGCAGATTAAGATTCTCTGCCCATCTTCTGCTCATCATGGGATGACTGGCCTCTCTGTGCCTTCTGAATCGGTTGCAAGTCCCAGGATGTAGAGAGGAGCTCAAATATTAGTGGTTTTTTCCTCTTTGTTGTTTGTTTGAAAAGGGGTTTTGCATGGCTGTCCCAGGTGGAGTTATAATTTGATCTTTCAGAACTTAGCACGCTGCTGTTAAAAGTCGAAGCTCCCCACAGAGGGTGGCAGGCAGGATGGCTGTGTTGGCTGATCTCCCCACTAGAACTGTTGATTGCTGAGAACACAGGGTGGCCACCTGTTGTGTCCCTCACATCCAAATGAGTCAGTAGTTCTTGTCAGCTCCATGTTGCAGCCATCTCTCCAGCCCCAGCATGAGGAAAAAGGAGTTTTGAGTTTGGACCATTGTCCCCGGCCCGCACAGGCGGAGGTGGAGGGAACAGTACTCAGGACAGCAGGGGAAGCTAGAAAGGACCAGGTGCCCAGGTGACGGGTCCACACCCCTCACTCCACAGGTGAGAAGGCAGAAGCATGCACAGGGTGGGTGAACGAGCTGGAACTTAGCTGCTTGGAGATAGCCCAGCCTTCACCCCAACACAACACGAAGCAGAAATGAAGTTAAAGGGGCCGGGGAGGGTCAGTGGTAGAAGTGTCCTGTGTAAACTAGTGACTTGTGTTCATCCCCAGAAACCATGTAAAGATAGAAGGAGGGACTGACTGATGGCACAAAGTTGTTCTCTGACCTCCCATGGCACATCCATCCAGAAGGAGACTACCGACAGACCGAAGAAAGACCTCCATCCAGCTCCAGCTTGGGGAAGAAATGATCCTATGGGAGTTACAGGAACACAACGGACTCACAGCTACACCACTGAGTCCCTTGGGAGGCTTATGTGCACCACTGAAGAGTCCTGTCCACAACCCACACAGCTCACACAGAGCTGTAACACTGAAAAGTGTTCTGGATAGCTATGGGCAGCCATCCTACCAAAGTAGCCCCCCAGGAACCCCAGTGAATTGTTGGAGAAGGGAGGGGTTTGTGAGAGTTTACCTCCACCTCCACTAGGGAATGTCAACAGTGGAGACCTCCCGAGAGTGTCACGCTGGAGGTCACTGTTGCTCTCATTCATGATGGTGACCAGAAAACAGCCACATAGCCTAGTATTTGAACAAGATTCTCCTGGAGTTGTGACCACACCAAGTGAGAAGGGGGAGGAGAGACTAAGGTTATGACTTCAAACTGACTTTACTTTTAAAAATAAAGGAAGGAAAGAGGAAGAAAGGAAAGAGGGAGGAGAAGGGAGGGGAGAGGAAACATGGAAGGGAGGAAGGGAGGGAGAAAAATAAAGAAAAGATAAAAAGCTACATTATCTCGACCTTCTGTTTTGCAAGAGGAAGGATGCCATACTCAGCTCCTGTCCACTTCCCTAGCTCTAGAATAATCAGGAAAAATCTCAGAATCTAGAAGATCCAGAGTGGATGTGTTATCTGGGGAAGAAGCCCCACCCAGTGCTGGTGCCTCTCAGGGCACCATTGCTTTGCAGTCTGCAGAGCTCTGCTTTCTGGGTTGGTAATCACAGAGGGACCCTTCAGGGCATCAGAGCTTCTATAAGGGGTAGTGATAGGGGTTTCTTGACAGACACAGGGGTGCTAGGGATCTCTCATGAGCCAGGCCCTTTGTCTTTCCCCCCATTTCGAAACACCCACTTTCCCATCCTTGCCCATGTTAAAGGTACCCAGGGAAGATAAGATCAACCAAACTCTTACTGAGAAATGCTGTTTCCTTTGCCCACTATCAGGGTGTCTGATCAAAGAATTGGTGCCCAGGTTAGTTATCTAGTAACCAAATAAGCATCAAGGTGGCCTCCCGGGGACTGCTCTGGATGAGTAAGGGCCAGGCCAGAGCAGGATCCCGCCTTCTCAGACCCGAAAACTCCCTGGGAAGGAGTTGAAGGCCACATGACTGGTGTGCAGTGGAGCCCAGCTGGGAAAGCTCTGGGCTTGGAAGTCTGGTTTCTCAGCCTCCCCCTACACTTCTGGATTCTGAGTGGCTCCTTGTCCACTTGATTCTTGGGAGGCAGCCTGTGGAAACCTCTTGAGCTTCCTGGGACCTCCCTCATCAACCCTTATACCTGTCTTAGGCATTTTTTTTTCTTGCCTCATCTGGATGTTGTGTGTCTGGCTGTGGGGAAGTGGTGACATCGGAGGACTTAGCTTAGTGGATATGTTTGGATGAATAGATGGATTACTGGGTAGAGGGATGAGAGAGTGGATGGATGGATGGACTGGGGCTTAGATAGATGTGTGGGTAGATTGATGGAGAGGTGAGTGATGGATAGACTAGGCTTAGATAGGTGAATTGACTAATGAGTAGATGGATGGATTGGGGTTTAGATGGATGGGTGGATGGATGGATGGATGAGTGAGTGAATAAATTGAGGTTTAAATGGATAGGTGAATGGATGGTTGAGTGAATGCATGGATTGAGGCTTAGATGGATGGGTGGATGGATGAATGAGTGTGTGAATGGGTGGGTGGATAGATGGATGAGTGAGTGGATGAACTGAGGTTTAGATGGATGGGTGGATGGATGGATGAGTGAGTGTGTGGATGGGTGGGTGGATGGATAGATGAGTGGTGGGTGCGAGGGTGGGTGCTGGCTGGCATTGTAATCGTCACAATTGTTGCCTGAATAATGTGAAATTTCCCCCTCACATTCACTAAATAATTAGTAACAATTCATCAGTGAACCCCATGATTCATTAATTCACCCCTGAGTTACCAGCCCCTAAACTGTGGAGACACACCCTAGTCCTGGTCCTCAAGAGACATTTTTCCGCAAAGGCAGGCCATGGTTTCTCATAGGAGTAGCAGCAGGACCAAGAAGGTGGATGGATGTTTCTATAGAGTTGGAGTTCCTGCCCCTTCCAGGTTCTCCTTGGACACCACTTTGCCTAAGACCTCAGAATATAGGCCAGGCCCCATATTCGCAGACCTGCACATTCTTGCACAATTGCTGTTTCAGGCAGAGTCCCCCTGTCTACCCCCTGTCTACCCCCTTCCCCATCTACCAGCTGGTGCCAAGAAAGGGCATACCTACTGAGACAGATTTTCCTGCTTTGTGGGAGGAGAAAAATAATGCCAAGTCAGTTAGTGTCCTCCCTACCGCCGGTTATAAAGTGTGCTGCTTTCCTCCTATGTAAAAATCAATGCGGACTCCTAATATACTACCTTAACAGCACAAAGTTTATTATTTCTCTTCCATTATGAAATTAGCAGTGCTCCCAATATACTGTCTGGAAAATACAGAGAAAGCAGAACAAAGGAGGAATTGACAATTATATATACTCCCACTAGCCAGGGACAGCCACAGTGACCCTGGACATTCAAGTCTCTTCTCGGTGTTTCTCTGCCTCTGTGTCTGCCTATCTATCTCTATCCAAATGTAGCTCTGTACCCTGCTATTGCCTATCTACACA